ATGTATATATATGGTATTTACATATGGTATTTACATATATGTATATATGTATATACATATATGTATTTACATATATAAATATGCATTATATTTTTTGCAATTGTAATAATTATTTTTGCAGTTATTATTCTATTGTGTAATAAAGATAGACTTATGTAGCACACCACCGCTGATGAAATTATGATTGGTTGTTGAAATCAATCATTTTATAAATGTAGCGCTGCATGATGGATGCATTGGCAATGTTGGCACTGGATTACAGGAATGGAACAATTAGGAGGGAGTGAGTATTCGGGGACCACATCACAAACAAGCACCTTGCTTTTCTTTCCTCTTGCTCGATGTGATTCACCATAAAGAAGCATTGAGCACATGCATCAACACCACCAGGTGCTTTGCATTGATTATGATTGAATGTGGCTGCATAGAGGTCGGGGTAAGAGGTCGATCCAGCTGTGCACATTTACGAGATGATTAGGGATTTATAAAAGGAAATTGCGCACTGGCAGGTTTTATAAATTAGAATATTTTTGGCGTACGTACATTATCCTATCTTCTACGTACACAAACATTTAGTGTGGGGCCCACGCACTGTTCTATAAATGAGAGCTTCCACCCTTTACAGAGCAGTGCAGCAATGCTTTCCTCTAGTGTGGACTTCATGTTACTGCATCTCTATCTCACAGGACGGTAGGTGATAGCCAGGAACTGTTTTTAATGTGTGATGAACCACACATGATGACCTTCAATCCTGATGTATTTTGGTTTAGTTCCTTTCAGCGCATATCTGGTTACCTAAATGAACCAACGCCAACTCCTCACTCAGTGCACGGTAGACTACATGAAAGAGCACAAAGCTGGACCAGAAACCCGTCGAGTGAGTCGTCGCTGCGGGGAACGAGTGGAGCAGCTGCACAAAGCCATTTGAGCTCTCGGGGGTTCAGATAGAGCCCCACATCACCACGGTACTCTGTATGGTGGCATGTTACAGACTTCACTGGAAGGAAACCGTATGTCAGGGTTTATCAAGTTTTATTAATTAGTTGTATTTTACACCCGCCTGATGTGCTTTGTTCCCACCTTGTATGCCTCTGAGAAGACATCGGATGAGTTGTTATTTTCAAAATCCTTCCTGTAAATACTTGTCTGCGATCTCAGGGGAGAGGACGATGCAGGACTGTGATGTGTAGAATTCTATCATGAATGAGGGATCACAACTGGATCACAACTTTTCTTCCATCTGAAGCCGTAACCTCGGTCAGTTCAAACATGCAGATCAGTAATCAGCTGCGAGCTGATAATTAGTGTAAGAAGTATGTGATGCAGAGTGGAAAAAGCTGTTTGAGGATTTTAATGTGCTGCCACTATTCCAAGTCGTGTTCACAGTGCACTAGCAGCTGCTGTCTTTACAGCATAATCTGTGTGCTAGATTCTCAACTCTGTCCGCCTTGTGGTTCTATCCCCACTTTGGATCTGGGTTCATGGCTTGAGTTTGAGCCAGGGGTGGACCATGGTGAGGATGGAGAGGACAGAGGAGGCCAGGCCACAGGCCCCGACAAAGCCGGGCCCTGTGGGGTAAATCCCTAGCCGGTCTAATGGGATGAAGATATCACAACTGTTCTTCACCAGGTCCAACAGCAGCGGCGGGTTGCTGTACAGCACCGTCACCAGCAGGTGGAGCTGTCTGCGAATCCATGCTGAAGTGGCAGGTGTGGAGGGGGAGGACAAGTGGTCCGCTGACAAGGTGGTGCTGGGGTTGGGTGAGTGTGGGGCTTTGGAGGCTCTGTAAGGCCCTTCACACTCGATAAGTAGGCGGAGCTCGTACACATCTCGAGTCAGGTTGAGGATCAGAGCAAAGAGGTAGTACCTGCAGATGCAACAACACACCTTTACATACAGTCGTTTAGAAATGAGAAAGACACGACGGTGTTTTAAACTCCGATTTGATTTCTTTAAATGCTTTAAAATCCATTTTATTGATTAAATCCATTTCAATCAAACATTTAAGAGTCTGCTATTTTAAATAACAAAACCACATGGTCTCTTAATCCCAGATCAGCTCAAATCACTTTATTAAATTCTGTATTTTCAGCAAATATGATCTCATAAAGATATTGTGTAATTCCATTTAAAAAGTGTTGAATGCACTAAAACACAAAGATGGTTACTGATTATTTATATATATTTGAAAAATTGTTATAGATGCATTTGTCATTAAAACATACACAAAAAAGAAGGCGACTCACCTGAAAGATCTCTGACTCCATTTATGCTGGTCCAGTTTGGAGATGAGGCCTGTTTTTCCAGCCCACAGGACGTTGTCACAGACAAAATACATGGCTCTGTTGAGGTGGCTGATGGTCAGGCAGAGCCTCAGCACGCTGTCAGAAAGGTGTATCGCCCTCTTGGCAGCCTCCAGCGCCTCAACAGAGTTCCCCAGACGCAGCACTGTGGGACACATATGCACATTACCCACAATCCTTCAGCTTTGGTTCCGGGAAAATAACTCGACTGGCTACTTCACTCACACTTTCTTGTCATGCTCATGTGTGCTTCCAGCTGACTGACAGTCTTGTGAAGTTCAGCCATGGCTCCGCCCTTCTGTAGAGTGTAGCCCAGCAGAGTGCAGGCATACTGGGCAGCCCTGTGAGTCACCATACAGATAAAGACTAATAAGCCATGCCAGTACATCTGCTGGTATCAGCTTGCTACCAATATTTTATGTATTGGTGTTGGTACAGAAATAGCAAACTAAGTTTGGTTTCATTTAGAAACTGTCTCCAATACAGAGGTAGTTATTTGGTTCTCTATCCTTTGAAAGATGCCTGTGTCTTTGTCCGGTGTCAGACTAATATGGTTGTATGTGTGTCAGTAAATGACAGATATCAAGCAGCAGAGTGCCCTACAGCTAAATCACCTGATAATCACTTTGCTTTTAGGTTGAACATACCTCGCTAATCTCACTTCTGGCTAGTTTATAAAACCCGAGGTCAGCCTAATTTAAAGCTCCTTCATGAAACAGAAGTGACCCCCTCAGGACCAGGCTAGTGGAGGCTAGCTTTCTATGCTAACTTCCCTCTCAAGGATTTAGTTGAGCCAAAGTTGAAGTAAAGGGGACAAGAGCTTTCCCCACACCGCACTCAATCATAGAGCCACTGGCGACAGAAGTAAACTTTCAAATTAAATATATAAACCAAGTCAGAACAACTCAATTTCATTCTTTAATATCTGCATTGTAGCAATGACAACAAACTAGCCACTGTCTGATCATTATGCTAGCAGCGATGTAGTGTTAGCTAACACGCGAACTACAACGACTACTTAAAGTTCACATTAACGTTTGTAGCTTACTTAAAGTGCGATTCAAAAGTTATCGTTAAAGTTGTAACATTACCTGATGACTCTCTCCTTGGCTTGGCTCTGGGCGTTAAACCTCACCCATGAGTCCATGCTGGCTGGTTGTTCTCGGCCTGTCAACCTGCTAACGTTACCTGCTGATGTCAGAAACTCTTGAGCTAACTACTAGTTAGCAGCTAGCTAGATTATCTTAGTACTGTCAAAAGCAATATTTTGAGGAGAGCTTTTATCACAGAAGAGCTTAACTCTCTATTTACAGTCTCGCTTTCCTTGGACACACAGATATAACAATATAATGTGTGTGACTGATGTATAAAGTGAACCCTTTTTATTTCTATGAAAGTTGCTCAACGGCGAGTGGCGCATGAAACAAAATAAATTCCACTTCCGAGTATAGAACTACGGAAGCCCTTCTTCTTCTTCTTCTTCTTCTTCTTCTTCTTTCAGTTTATTGGCGGACTACAAACCAACGTTTAAGGTGCATGCCACCACCTACTGTACCGGAGTGTCTAACATGACTGTCATTGAAACACAATAATAATGTTATTATTTATTTAAAAAATAAAAAAGATTAAAAAAATAACGTCATATAGAAGTTATATTCTCGATATTAAACCCGTTCCATTCATAAATGTAAATAAAGCCCTTTTAAGCTGAACTTGTTTGTCCCCTGTCTCTAACAGTCCTTTGATGCTCCACTCTCTTCCTGTATCCACCATTGTTAACACCCTGGCCAAATCCCAGTGTCCCCCCTAAATCCTCAAACCCTGAACCTTCAAGGACTTACTGACTTCACCTGGTGAGTGGGTGAGTGTGAGAGACTGTGAGGGCTTGAGATGGTGTAAATATGAATGGGACAGCATTTTAGTGCAACATATCACGTTACCATAAAAATGACAAAAAATAAGATGTATAATTGTGTGTATATATTTTATACTTTGTACTCCCTGATGTGAACGTCTTCAGGCTCTTTCCTCACAAGATGAGAGGTAACTTCATATCATCTATTTACTCGTTTTTGTCAAAACAGCTTCAATGACAAAATCAAATGTTTGATGAATAAATTAATAAATATCTTCTGATTTCATGTTTATTTTTTGTTCCATCTTTAACCCTTAATGTTTCTGAGTACATTTAATATTCCAGGCTGAACACATGTGAGCCGTCCTCTTTGTTTACCTTTTTTTTTTTATGTCTCCATGCGTCCACTGGTTACCCCGTGTTTAACGTCACATTGCAATGATTTGTGGGTAATTCCCTTAGGCTAAGTTAGCATCCTATGCTGACTTATGGAAAGGGTTCATAAAGGGCTCAAATGTCTGCGAGAGACTCAAACACTTGATGATTTGACAGTGGGACAGAATTAAACTCTCACGGACTTCGCGGGAGCGCGCCTCAAAGTCCGTGAGTCCGTAAGGGGGGAGATTGGGATTTGGCCCCTATTTTGAAATCCTGATTTAGTCACACAGAGTCACTTGCATATCCTTCCGCTAAAGAGAAAACGAGTTTTTGTTTCTTGTGATTACGTGTTAATTATTCTTTTTTTCCCTAGATAACGATGTGCTCGGCCTGACAGAACTTTTTGGGCACACCTTGCGTAAAGCTAGAGAGCAAGTGCAGAAGAGATTTTACCGCACATGTTGTTCCCCAATAGTATGACACGTGACAACCCCTCTTTTAACTCTCCATGATCCCTAAGGCGCATACAGGCGGCAACCTCTGATTCTGAAGAGTGAAGCCAACGCGGGATTGTCCTGTATTTGCATTCATTTAAATGTCCATCAGGGTTGCAAAACAAGTCAGGTTGTATGAGAACATGACTCTACTTCTCTCTTGATTTATTACCTCAGTAAACATTGTAAACATCAGTTTATGGTCTCAATCTCTATAGTTTCAAGTCTTCTTCAATACAGCATGATGTTCATTTAGTACATTATGGTCCATTTAGAGTCAAACAGACCATAAAGCAGGGGATGCTTTAGGGCGGGGCTACACAGTGATTGACAGGTCGCTACCAGAACCTTAAACTGTGTCTCTACGTCACTCCTCCACAGTTCAAATATGGTCACTTATGTTCACTGGTGGTAAAAAGTCAACATGGCATTTTTTTGTTTCCCTTCCCCGTTTTTTTTTTCCTTTCTTCTCTCACTGGTCTCATTAGGGAATGTGGGAGCATTCTATTTGTGGGGTATAATATGTATCTATCTGTGCATGTACATATCTGTCACCCTCTACTGTTATTTTCATTTTTTGTTTCTGCTGAGAAACAGTCAGTAACACCCAACAACAAAACATGCCATTGATATCTTTATTTGAAATATCTCCAAGTGCCTATGTGTACCTTCTGATATGCCTTGTTCTGTCTTGTGTTTGTGTTTTGTGGAAAAGACAATAAAAAACATTTGTCAAAAAGTCAACGACCACTTCTTATATCCATTCTATGGGCCCATAGAGCTCTTTAATTGACTGACTCATCAACTTGAGTTTATTAGCAAAGCTATTGATTATTGATGGATTACAGAATGTATTCAAAGCAGTAGGCTACCATAAGATCCAGGATCGTTTGTGATAACTAATGACGACATTAACAGCTAAATATCTGTGTGTCCTGTATCTACTTCTAGCATACAATATGTTTCAATATTTCTAGTTGAATACATATGTTCTTTTCATTATGAGTGATAAGTGTGCAGTCACACAGTATGTGTGGAGGTAAGTGAGAGGACAGTCAGTGAAGCATGTGAAGGCTGTATGACATTGTTCATTTATTAAAGTAGCAATACTTTATCAATAAAGTTTGTATAATTATGACAATGCCATTTGTTTATCGTATTTTAATATACAGTCAACATTACGGAGCAGCACATTTTTACAATAAAATAATTACAAAATTAAAAGAACAATATTCTAACAAAGTCAAATTTAATTCTTTAGTACATATATTGTTTAAGTGTCATAATAAACATGTTTAATGTTTATGAAGGGGATGATTTATTTATTTTTCTCAGTTTGTCCTCTCAACATTAATAAATGGATGATGATGGATCTTCAGTGGTTTTGGGATGAAATCTGATTTGATCCAGAAATGTTTCTGCACATTTTTATCTGAGATATGAACAATCAATTCAATATATAAATCTTTAACCTGTTCTGAAAGTTGTTGGTCCATTTTTTTTTTTCAATCTGTAAAATAGGATTTGACATTCTCCAACACACCCTGCAGGCATTCTTACATTTGTGTCACAATGATGAATCTAGTTTGATCATATTCACGGGTAAAGAAGTGGCTACAGTCAGATAATCATGTTGCTCTTTCACAACTTGACCATGGAAGTTCTTTGGCAACAGTAATATGACAATAATAATCCCAACTCTATAGGAGGTCTATTTATTTTGTAAACTCTCTCCACCAGCTCTCAGATTATTTCCATATCTTAATTAAGTCTGCATGAACAAACTCCACCACTGTTGAGATGTGGCTGACAGCCTGAGAGCTAGACAGTGAGTTCTTTCAGAGCATTTCAACACGTCTCAACCAGCTTTTGTTTCTGTAACGATTTAAGACACTTCCACTGTACACCGTCCCCATCATATACATGAAGGGTGCTGTTGGTCTTATGAGTAAACAGGCTGTGTCAAATATTAAGGGAGGACAATAAATCATCTTACATAATGAGAAATGTCTTATATGATTACACAGAAGACACATATTGATGCATTAACTTTGGTCTGTTCAAAAAGATGACATCATAATGCAGCAGCACCTGTCTGACAAGGCTCACAATAATGTGTGTCAGTGGTGGGCCGTCAGGTCCAGCACTGACACACGCTGAATGCCACTAAATGCATTTCATGACATATTGTAATTGATTTGCTAAGTAATAACTGAGAAAATTAGCTGTTTGCTGTGTTTGCAGGCTAAACATCGGCACCACCACATTAAAATGATTGCATTTATCCGTCAGTGTTTTTTTATTTTCAACTGTTTCTATCATATTGTGGTTTCATGCTGATACACAGTTTACTGTATTCATACTATCAAACCAAAGATGTGACAACCAATCATATTCATCAACCACTGTGGGAAGCAGTTGGCTTTCACATTTTGTGTGGACTCCATTTAAGAAGCTGAGAATGCTGTCTTTGAACCCTGAAGAGAGTACCCTTGAGATGAACTGTGAATTATAATTTCCGAGGCGTTTCCTGGAGACAATTATTTATTTTGGTTGTAATTATTCTTAAAAAGAAGAGAAAACTTGAAGGTTGGTACACTTCTAATTAAATCATTCCAATTAATTGCTGGTGTACTCAGAGGAACATGCAACAATATGGCCCACGTCTGCAGACAAGCTGCTCTCCCTTTAGTATCAAATAAAACCGAACTTTCTAAGAAACGTCCTTGGAAACAATTAGGAAATTGCAGAGCCATAAAATGAAGCTTACAAAAAATCATAATGTAAACCTGAGAATGTAATTCCACAATAGCACTATCATTTTCCACATGTGCAAAAACGTGAATGAAAATGCAATAATCCAATTAATTTTCACAGACACTGGGTGTTCTACGGCCATATTCAAATTCAAATAAAATAGTGGTCTGACATTCAATTTTCAAAGTCGTCCCACAATGTACAGTTTAGAATAAGATATAATAAATGTAACTTGATTTTTCCATTCATACAAGCAATATTTTAGTCCAAATGAGAATAAAAATGCAATTTTCTAACAATTTGAAAATGAAAACAGCATTTGTCATTTGATTTGCAAAGACATCATCTGCCGTGCAGTGGACAACATTCAGTCTATTGCATCTGGGCTTACATGTCACCACGCTCTCGTGTCAAAAGGAAAATGTCAGTCCTCTGATTGATAGTCAGGGCGTCACTTCCTCTTTCACCTACCGACTCGTCATCACCCAGTGACTGCTAAAGTCAGGTTACAGTAGGTAGCCGACGTAGTCCCGCCTCCAGAGAATGATTGACGTCCTAACTGAAGACCCGCCTTAATAAGAGGATTGACAGATAGCATTTCCATTTTGGCTTGCATAAAAAAAAAATAAAAAATCTGGATATATTGTTTATATTGCATTTAAATTTTCAAAATGTATAGTGGGGTCCGACTTAAATGACAAAAAGCTTTTTCATTTTCATATGGTCATAGGACGTATAGAAAATGCATATTGGATTATTGCATTTAAATTTTCACTCATATAACACATATGTATGTATGTGGAAAGTTATAATGCTATTGTGGTATTTCATTTCTACTTTCAAGTTGACATAATCAGAAGTCTGCTGTGGGCTTCCACTGTGAAGAGGCCCTCAGACAACCAAAGACACCTGACGAGCTGTCCTGCTGACACACTGGATGATGCCAACTCAAGCTGAAGAGCAGCAGTGAGAGAATGAAGGTGAAGCTTGGCTTTAGTTCTTTAGACATCGGTACATCAATAGAGATGCACGAATAGACGAGTGCAAAGCATTTCTGGACACATCATGGAGGTGATGTGATTGGAGAGAGATGAGGATAAACCTCTGATGATGATGCTAACGATGATGATGATGATGATGATGATGAGTTTGCTCGTTATCTGCGAAAGCCTACTTGAACACTTGTACCTCCCTGAATATGTGCAGAAGAGAACAGATACATATGACATCTATTTGGGTTGTCCATGCTAATATTAAAAGCGTACTCATTCATATTTTACTCACAAAAGACTAAGGCAATAAATAATACTACTCAGGTATGATGAGTGCTTTGTCAATAGTTTTTCTATGAACCAGTTTGACACATTGTGATATCTTCAAAGAACTACACAGATACCTGAGGGAGCCACAGAATACCATCAAAAGATTTTGAACAGCGGAAAACCAAATCACAATGTGTAACATCATGTGTAGCAAGACAAACTTGTGTCTGTCTGTCCTTCCAGTGTTGGTGCATCTACGGTCGATAACAAAAGGCACAAATCACAAATATGCATATGGCTGAACTTTGTTAAGCAGCTGAATCAGATGACAAATATCGACAACCTTTTTCTCTTGTGGAGCAAAGTTGGATTTGTCCAAAGATGGGACCTTTTGACATGAGTTACTCTGTACCCTATTATTGGGTCAAATGTGGTGTCCAGCACATCTCTTTCTACACAGTGCACTACGTTCTATCAAAGACCCGCTTCACTACGGGCCGGGTTGCTTTCTCTGAACTCTGGTGTGTATGCTCCTCCAATGTGAATCACTGGCCAACTAAAAGCTTGTACACGTTCGATATACCGTGATATCTATGTCTGAGGTGTGCAGTCCGTGCTGGGTTTTGGCTTTAAGATACATTCTTATTTTTTCATGTCTATCTTTATAAAGTACGCATTTGCCATATGTGCTGTACTGTTTATTGATTATCTCTTCTCCTCTGCATACTGGCTGTGATTCCCTCCAAACACAAATACTTACTGATGTAACATACCCACAGTCCATTTTCTGTGCAAAGAGTCATTCAAGTTCAGCTGAAGATAATTAGAGGTTTCATCAGAGTTAGACAAATCCATGTATAGAACTTAACCCTCCATTACATCCCAGAGAACTCAAAGAGGGAGTTTAGTTTTAATCCAAACACTCACTTTTGAAGATATCTTCTTTTGATTTGACTAACTCAGACAGCTGAAGCCTCAGATTAGCTTGGACTGCATTTTCACACAGAACGAGGACTGTGGACCCCTAACCCTACAAAAGCATTATTTCATAGCCAATAATGCGCAGCGGGAATGCTCACAGCAACTCTCTTCTCTGTTTGTATGTATATGAGGCAGCTGAGGATTGGCTGAAAGGGACCGTGTGTAGGGTTTGGTGGCCTCTAGCTGTGTGGTTGCAGTTTGCAACCAACTGAACACCCCTCCGCTCATTCCTCCCCTTCCTAAGGTGAGCCGCCGAGTGCAAAACTGGTTTTGTTTGCTTCACTCAGAGGCCATCCATAATCATACTTTATGAGCAACGAAAGTCAAACGGCCACTGGCGTAACCGTGGTTTGAAACTGTGCGGCTCACGTCACAAACGTGTCTGAGAACTCCAGCGTCCTTCAGGCAGTGCTGGGCCGTCAGGCCCTGCAAGGCCTTCTCTGCTGGCCTAAACAGAATCACAAAGCTATATCTATTTTATAATTTTACTTAAATACACTATATGTATTATAATTTATAAAATTATTTTTCCCATTATCTTATGTTCTCATTGCACAGCTACTGTCTTCCTCAGTTGCTCTGCTTCCAGTGCAGCTTGTTTTAAGTAGAGCTTTTATCCAATCAGATCTCACCTCTGTGTCTCTAGGTAAGAACAGAGGCAGAGGCCTGCAGACTCACAAGTGAATCCATGTGCACTTTAAGTGAATGGGGACGATATTGTTGATTGTCATAGTCTTCAACCAATCAGATCTCTAGTTTGACATGTTGGGCGTATTCTTTGACGTGTCAGAGCCTGCGAGCCGGCCTATAATGACGTCAGCATTACATGCCGCTCAGTGTCCATGTGCAGCTCTGCCGCAAGGTGCAGAGTGTGCTGTGATTGGTCAGTGGGCGAGCACGTGACTATCATGAAACGAAACTTAACAGCAGAGGCTTAGTCGGGTAGTGAATCACATCACGTGATGCAGCTCAGCCAATCAAATATGGGCATTCTGACCCGAGTGAGATGTAGCACACACCATGACACAGGGGGCTGAGACGAGGAAAGACATTGCAGAGCAGTACGTTCAAGTTGTGAAAGTAAAATCCTATGATAATCTCTTTGGGTTGCGGCTTGTCATTAAGGAATGATGGCGGATCCCACAGCCAGACCAGCTGAGAACATTATACTTTCCTGAATTTAGGCTTTTGCATTTTCTAAATGCTCTAGCATTATTCAAACGACTCGTACCAAACGGTTTAATACGAAGACGTACATAGTTACAGCCTTAATAATGAATAATAGCTGTGGCGCCATCATGTGGTTATAAGGTGGTATTTCAGCTGCAGGACAGCAGTGAAGGCCCAGGTATAAAATGCACGGCCCGCCACTGCCTTCAGGTAACATCAAAAGCTTGTGTTTAGTTAGTCCATTCTGGGTACTGAAGAGACTTGGACTCCATGAAGAGGACCCGCCCACTATCTAGACATGGAGGGCTCACTCTAAGCTAAGGAAGACACTACCATTCTTACTTTCAGGTGCTTATACACTAATGAAAACATAATTATGAATATCATATTCCATTCCTGCTAATAGATCCTCGAAATGCTGCACACTGGCCCTTTAAGATAGACTTGAAAAATGAAAACTATATTCACTGCTAATGTTCAACAGGGAGGTGTAAAATAGTAGATGTGACATGTTCAAATGACTTGCACTTCCAGGAACCATATGGCGCCATCTTACCTGGGTCCAGTTTCAAACCTGTTGTAAATGGAACCTGAAACACGCTTCGATTGTCTTTTTATTGTGTTTTTCTACCAACACACCAATACTGTTTTTATTCAAGATACTGAGCGAACGACAACCGTGTCTGTCTAGAATGAACCAAAAAACTAATATTCTGGTAGAAAGTTAATTGTTATAGCTCCAAGAGAACAGATCACGACTTCTCATAATTGTGTCTTTATGTTGCAGACAATGACGTTATTTTTTCAATTTTGTCTGAAGTTAATACGTAAGAACTGTCTTTGGTGTTGTGAATGGCTAATTTACTACATCACGTTTGACCTAGCTTGAAACCGCTGAAGTACTAAACTTCTTTCTCCAACTGGATTACTTTACTGACCAAGATATGGATTATTTCTTTATTTGCTTCACTGAAAGGAAAATCGGATAATAAGTGATGTTAATAAATGATGATTAATTGCAGGATTCAAGGTGATTTGGGTGAACATGTAATGTTAACGTGACTCCTCCGCCTCTAATTATGTCGGCTGATGTTTGTCTTGAGATATTATGAAATGGGATTACAAGCACTTCTCTTTGTAATGAACATGTTATATGTTTACTTTACACTTCATTGGCATGGAGGTGCTTCAATGTTAGTGTAATATTAATAACTTTCTTTTCACGTTAGCGTTACTAGATGTTACTTTTGAGCTCGGTTAGCGTAGCTAACATTAAAGCAATGTCTGCTGGCTATAACTTATCTGTTTAGAGAACAGATTAATCCGGTTGAGAGCTAGCAATCAGCAACAACTTTGACTTCAAACTGCTGGTGTGTTACTCGCTAGCTGACTTTAAAGTTCACTAACTTTTTTGTAGTTTTAGTTGACTCAAACATGAAATGTGTCATCTCCTGGCGTCTGGGAGGTGCTGCCAGCCTCCCTGGTCTCTGTGGTCCTTCTGGTAAAGTCAGTTAGTGCTGCACAGCAGACAGCCAGCTGCTGTCCATTGGTGGCGATTGAAACAATACCCAGGTAAGATGACGATTATTCTAATAGTTATAGACCTAATGTCACATCTACTGTTTTACACCTGTGCAACACACCTACCTCATGTAACTGGAACCATATGATGAGCACTCAACCAATCATATCACTGCTGTTTATGGCTTTAACTCTCTACTCATTTTGCCTTTATTTCAAAATAAGAGCACATTGTTACTTAATTAGTCCGGGATGAAGAAATCAATCCTCAAACCTCTTCCAAATGAATTAGTTTGATAAGAATAAACAGCCTTATTTTAGCCTGATGACAGCAGTTACAGTGTGAATTGGTTGAGCCACATTTAAAGAAGCCAACCCAGAGTTCAGTGAAGCCACTGTAAGGGATGATATGCTCAGAGAACAGACCAGAGGACAGACTCAGGCTTCTATCTCTGGAGCTGCTGATGGTTGTTTTCCATCAATCGTTACAACTTCTTTCTGCTGTGACATGTAGAGTATAGCTAATGTTCCACAGAAACACGTATCAGTCAACTTATCTAGTACTGCTACTGCACATCACAGCACGGGACATTATAGAGCTCAATAAATACAAAGCTTAGGGAGTGTTGTAGTCAGAATCCTATCAGAGGGCTCCATTGATTGACTTCAGCCTGTCAGTGATGAACAAAGTGTGTGCGCTTTAGGCGTAAAACGAATGTGACTTTGCACTGTAGTTATGAGGTATTTTGGCTTCGGTGATTTACACCAACCATTTGGTTACATACAGGGTAGCACTGTTTCATTACAAAGTACAACAACACTACTTTAAAGCTAAATGTTTTTGGCTTTTTAGCCTTTTGGTACAAAAATAATATAGCTTGAGCTGAGCATAATAAGAGGGCTAAACAGCTATCAATGCTAACAGTTTAGATCAACATACAGTGAAGAGCGCAGCACAAGCACAGAGATGACATAATACGGGTTGTCTTACTCCTCTACATCAGCTCTGTTGTTGAGAAGATGTAAAGAGAACTGTAATGTTGTTTGTGTTCAGTGTGAGTTTACTGACAGCATCTCCAGAGGTATGCAGTTCTCTTTCTGTGGTTTCCCTCCTGGATAACTTTCTATACATCTGTGTGTTCATTCCATGAATGAATGTGTCTCCTACTATTGAAAGACATCCAAATTGCATATAGAGGAGCTGGATTTCTGAAACACATCCCTGGATTTCTACAGTGCATATGAATGTCTTCAGGACAGACAAGTTGGTCAGAATCAGAATCTTTACCTTCAGAGCTCCACCTCCCTTGTGTTTGACTTCAGATTATGGAGTAAAGCATTGGAAAAACCATCAACACCAGCTTTTCCATTGATTTGCTTTGTGGATCAATTAGATAGCATATTTGGCAACATGTGTGCCTGTGTGTGCACATTCATAGAATCCAGATTGGAATTTGAACAAGGTCATGGTCCTCAGTTAGCAGGCCCTGGGTCTGCCAACGGCATGGTGTGCAACACCTCATCCAGAAGCTGCAGAGCGCGGTGCAGGTGGACCTCCACCCAGCAGGGCGTGTGTTTGATGCTCTGCCGAGGGTAGTCGGGCCCCCAGCCCTTCACGAAGCTGAGCCGCAGGATACACAGGCGCCTCAGGTCATCCACACCGATCCCCGCTGCTGCAGCCAGACCTGTCGGTGAACAAGAGTGACATCACTAAGGATATCTGATTGGTGCTCACTATAAGGGCACTGGTGCACCACACTGCCATCCAGTCATCCCGTTAAATCACACTGTGATTGATTGACAACTGATCATTTCTACACTAATAATACAATTCACCTGTCACGTGTTCATTAGATGTGGAACACCGATTACGTACATGATTGTTCTCGTTGCTGTTCATTGGAGGCCTATCTCTTTAATGGTAATACCTTTCTTGTGTATGCATCAATAACAAGCTACGCCGTGCCTCTGGCATACAGCCTCAACAACCTCCACCAACAAGGCAGAGCAGCGAATCCCTGCTGCTGCTGGTAAAGCTGCACGGTGATCCAACACTGTGATCAGAGCTTCGCACTACCACGTCTTTTAGTGAATGAATCAAACTGGAAGTGTAAAAGTGAGGTGGACATGGCCACTATAGCAGCAGCACATGTTACATATCAGCCATAAGCCCTTTTTCCACTGGACAAAAAACCACAAACACCCACTGACATCTGGCTCTTGCCTTCAGAGGGAAAGAGCCACATTCATTTCCGGGACAAATGACTCTGCAGTAGTCACAGGTGTTTGTCGGCTCCGGCTCCGATCCTCAGTTATGGGAACATGACACCCTGGTGGACGTGCTAATTGTCGGTCCTTTTACGCGATTCTGTGTGATACGCGTTGAAGTGAATACATCATAAATAAAATGAACAGGGATTTCAACAATTCATATTTAACGTACAAAACATACAACTAATATACTCTCCAGTCAGACAACACTAGTTTCACCTCACTGATCATTGAGGGACAATTCATGAAATACAACTCATTAACAACCATGTTGGTAAGTCTTTCCAGTGTTGAAATAAAACTTAATCCACAAAGATAGATGTGAAAAGAAACTGACAGCTCCATTGACAGCAACAATAATGCATTCGCGGCGCATTGTAAAACACATCGAAATAACTGAATCTGGATCAATGACTACCTAAGGCCTGCCTACATATCTGATCCCAACATCAAACTAGTGATAAAGTAAAAGTAATAAATAGTAGGGCTGGTCAATGGCAGAATAAAGCAGCTAATAAAAGGTGATTGGAGAAAGTGTGAGTCACCGCAACCACAACAGCTCCTTGAGAATGCAGTTATAACTGGCCACTCGAAATATTGTGCAGTCTGCTGCAGTAGAAGCGAGATTAGCCGTGGACAGACACAGAGGTACACACTCACGAACGCATGCACACACACACACACACACACACACACACACACACACAAAGGACTGCATGATTACCCTGGCAGAGATAAAAATAATAACCACCATAAAACTACTACTAACCTTGTTTTCCAGCACAAACACCCCTAGAAAAGCTACTCGTATACTGGCAGTGGGAAGGGAGTCTGCATTCATTTTGGTGGACATAGAAATCCAAAACATACAATGCAGACTTCAAATAAAGAGAAATTATGCAATGTATCCAAAAGCTGCTCAAAGCTGCATTGAGCTGCAGAGTGGGCTCAAATACCGACATCTTATCATGACATGTGATTCAATTATTATATCATTTTTTACTGATAATGTTGCAATTTCTTTTCAGTAACCAGTCTCTCTTCATGGATCAGCTGCTTCTTATTGTGTATTCTGTTCCTGCTGTCGTTCCCCTGGGCTGTACTCAACTCGGTGCAGAGGATTGTAGAGTAAATTCCACTTCACTGTACATGTTGCATTTCCACCATGTGTTGTTAAATGTGAAATTGTCGTGAAAGTGTTCACACTTACTAACTGCAGGTGCAATGCCTCCGACGCTGCCTGGACCGGGAATGTTTCCTGCCACGGCGGCTGCCTGTGCAGCAGCTGCAGCCTGAGCCGTCGCTGCCTGCTGCTGCATCTGTCTGTGGCACTGCCGCAGGTCAAACACCTGACCAACACACAACATCCGTTCAGTCTGGAAGAACGTTTCAAACAGTTCATTCACTTCCACATGCAGCTAAACAGGGCTCGTTTCAAATGGATGTACAACTTATTTATTTGAGTCATGCTACGTAGAAGCTCAATGCTACTCACTGGTGTTCTCAAATCAACAAAAGAGCTCAACAGTTTAAAAATAGAGGATCTGATTTCTTCGTGTGAGCTGGATTCAGACCTTGATGTAGGCTCCGGGGTAGATCTTGTGCACAGCGTCACCTGGTGCTCGGCCTGCCTCCCTGTCGAGGTAGTAGCTCTGAACAAACACAGCGTGGTCGCTCATACAACGCATCCACACATCGCCCTCCCCACGACACTCCAGCTGCACGCCTTTACCTATGTGCAACCTGAAACACACAGGAAGAAAAGGATGTGGAACCGCCCTGTATTTCTTGAAAAAATAAATAAAAATAAGACTATTATTATACTTGTCAGTTTCGTCTTTTGTTGACAGTGAGTGAGTGAGTGAGTGAGTGAGTGAGAGAGAGAGAGAGAGACAGTATGTCAGGAAGCAAAGGTCCCACAGCTGGAATCAAACCGCGGACGTTGCAGTTTTAAAGTATGTGCTATAATGAGCTCCGAGCTCTCTCGTGACATTACTGTGGGACCACAACAGAGAAGACCTTTCTTCAGATGTGCTGCTCAGGTGGGTTAAGAAGAGGAGGAGGACTGTTCTTCTTTGTAAGGTGTTGTTGCTCACTGCAGTCAAATGAATGTAATGTAAAGTACTTTTGCACAACTTATTTTTACATTTGTGGTGATTTTACTAAAAAGCTAAAAATGATTTTTTTCTTCTACGATCTACTTTACAAAAGAAAAGTAAGCATTGAGAAGTGAGCCATTAATGCAGTTGAAGCTCTCTTTCTTCATTGCTCACACAAATACTTTCATGGAAACAACTTTACTTTATCACACGAATGCCTTTGCGGAGAGACGGCCCAAAGCTACCCACCTTTCTGTTACTTGTTGAGTGGACAAACAGGGTGCGGTGGAGAGAGATGAGGGAGGCAGTAGGATGCAGCCAGGAGGAGTGTGGCAAATATGGCCATTAATATTACAGAATTCAGGCCAAACAGAACTACTCATATGTTTTAAACAGCCATATATTAGCCGACATTTAAACAGCAATACAACTAAAACACAAATGCTATGATGCAAGTTCCAACAACAACAGCAGGATAATGAAACCGTCACAAGACATTCAAATGTTAAATCAAAATTGAATGCTGTGCAGCTTCGTGTTTTGCATCTCAAGATCAGGCTACACTAATATTATTAGTATTTTACTGTTTGGAGAATCAGAATCCAGTGGTGGCTGGATGAATTGTTTCAGACTTGTGACATCCAAACATTTCCAATAACCAGAGCGCTGTGACGTCCAAAAGTCACAATGTATTGAAAAAGAAAGACGGTCTCTGTGAGCGAGGAGCAAGAGTTCTCCGCTCACATGCGCTGCACTGGACACAGCAACTATGCTGACAATCTGTCCCAGCTTTGCCCAGTGGCAAGAGATTTCCCTATGTGTGGGAATTCAACCCGCCGTACCCACACAGTGCTGTCCGCACTACATCTCGCCAAGCATCCGATTAGACTACTTATATTTCCCAACGGACATTTTGGCCGGACAACTACAAGTGATACCGGCAAAGAGCCAACATATGCCAACGTAAACCCCACATGATGTGTGTGGGATGTCAGAGCAGCTCTAAACACGTCATGCTACCTAAGTCTGTCGTACTAACACATTGAGAATGAAAACTCAATCCTCAAAGCTTTTGCAGTGATACTGTATTACATTGCATTAAAGTGTTGTGTTTATTTTGCTTGTCCCCTGTATTTACAGGCGGGACACACACCATTCCAGCAGCAGAGAGGTGTATTGTCTGTATTCATTATCATGCCATCTCACACACTGCAGCCCAACAACAACTTGGGGACAGAGAGGAGGCTAACAGCGAGTGAGTCAGTAAGTGAATGAAACAGAGCAGGGGTATTCAATTCAAATTCCAAAAGGTCCAGATTGACAAAATCTCCTCGTGCAAAGGTCCGGAACATTACCATAATATCTAAGTTGCACTATACATCTCACTCGAGTCAGGAAACTTGTCAGAATACTCATATGTGATTGGCTGAGCTGCATCACGTGATGTGATTTGCACCGCATTGGTCGGTGTGTTTCCTGCACCGCTGAACAAGTGCCGTAAATGCTGAAAAAGCTGCGGCAGTTAAAATAGAAGCGCTCCGTCAAAATGTAATAATTCTCAATTATCTATCGGTTTTAGGTCCTGGGTCCGGATACAACGGTGTCTGGGTCCGGATCCGGACCGCGGTCCGCCTATTAGTGACCCCTGAAATAGAGGATGAAAGTGTTCTAAGGTGTTTCATATAGAAAGACATGCTACTAAGAATCTATTTAATAGACGCACCTGGCTCTTTCACTTGCATCTGTGCGGTGGACGTTACTCAGCTGTCCGAGGCAGAAGCGATCGCCTCCTGACGGGTCAACATAACCGTCCACGGTTACTACGGGGCAGCTGGAGGGCACCTTGAACATCTCACCCACCTGAACGTCCATTTCAAAGTAGGAGATAGAGCACCAAAACTCTGGTCCTGCAATGAAAACAGAGTGAGTGTGTGACAAAACTGTGGGTCAAATTTCCGACCACCTTTTATTCTGCTCCAAACACATGCAGAGCTGCCGGGGTGAACGTCTCCTCCATCATCAATAAATGCACATTCATCCTAAGCCTGGCAACAGGCGCACAAACTCTACCATCGCCATTTTTACAGAAATGAAATATTATTTCTGCACCAACTGTCAACGTAGACAACCACAATGTAGACAGGGATGACATATATGATAAACAAGACATGAGCCCTGTGCAGCACCACATTTCTTATAACAGTAACAGTAGGCAGTTCAATGGCAGTCTAAAACCCATAGTGACGGCATAGTCATCTCTAACCTGGATGGTTGGACACAGAAGGAGGGAAAGAGGCTGAGCCATGATGCTGAGACCCTGAAAGCAGAGGGAGGAGTAAATCAGTCTGAAGTAGAAAAACACAAAGCTGTACCCAACTCTCTCTGGTCCACGCTGAACATGACTGTCAGGCTGTGACTTGATGGGGTGGCTGTGAAATGAAGTGAAGCCTCTATGTGTAGGACTTGAAAAGTCTCTTCATGGTAGTGTGATATATACCTCATGGTACTAATGGGCTGTGTGGGTAGTGTTACTGTACTCTTCAGCCATTGTACAGTATACATAATATAAGTTATTTGATGATAACATATAAAGATCAAATAAGAAACATCACATATGGTGTTCAATATAAAAAGCACCTAGAAAGGAGCAGTGGGAGTCAGTGGATGTGCAGGATTAAAGTGAACATCATGTGGAATTCTTGTTTTGCAGCATATCTTACAATGGTGGTTTGGATGATGACCACGCCCGTTCTGCTGGGGTCCTATGGGAGTGTAGGAGGCTGTGCTGCTGCCTGTCCAAACCGCTGAATTACAGGGAAGTACAGAAGGATCAGTGTGACCATGAAAGATGATTGGATTTTGATGTTAAAATATGAAAAATAATTGTAATTTTGTGTTTGCATACGTTGTAACAGGTGCACAACATTACCGCGAATTTGATCTAAAAGGTTTAAAAATTCATTTCCATTTCATCTGGACTATAAATATGTTCATGTCTCTCATACAGCTTGACACATTTACACTATTCAGTTACTTAAGTTTGAAGATGTATTTCCCCAGTGTAGGAGAAATAAATACATATACTTGCTGCAACTCTGCAAGAAACGGCTGCTTTCATGAAGATTCATCATAATATTATGATCACTTCTAGTTGACACTGTTTCACTGTGTTGATTTCAGTCTGATTATAAATGTTTATACTTATATGTGTTATCTATCATTTTCATTATAAATGATTTTGTTGTTATCTGAAGTTATCATTCTCTAAGATGTGTAGGGATGAGGAAGGGTTGGAAGGGTGAATGTGAGGCAATTGTTGAAGTGATATCTGATTGACAACGGGAGGATGTTTGGGCTGATCATAATAGATAACATAATATAACATACTTATAGATTCCTAATAATTATGAGTTGTATATATGATAAATACTAAGTTCATTGTTAGGATCATATAAGTGTGTTCTTCTTCCAACTTTGACATTTATTTATATTGTTTATGATAATGTTTCTATATAAGGAGTTTGCTATGTGTATTCTGTACATTCTTTTTGTTTCTTTGTTTTAGTTTTATACGTATTTGTTACATCGAAATAAATAGATAAATAAATAACATTATTCTACATTATTAGGCAATTGATTATGTTTCCCCTGGAAAGCAAAACAAAATATTGGTGTTAATATCCATGTATATATGCCTGTATTTGTGTATGTGAGAACTCACTGTGGAAGGCAGCCTGGCTCTGAGAGTGTTTATTGCTGCTGTAACCGTTCTGTCCATGCACGTGAGAGGGAGGTAGGGAGGGTTGTTGTGGGTGGGGGGGCTGTGAGGGTTGCTGGGCAGCCTGTTGCTGAGGAGGGGCCTGGGTTGGGGTCTGGGGTCGTGGTGCCGAGGTCATGACTTGAGCCTGTGGGGAAGCGGTTTGGAGACGGCCGTCACCGTGTCCTCCCTGGAGCGGTAGCATGGAGCCGGAGCCGGAGCCTGGAGGGGGGACAGAGGAATGAGTCAGACCTATGTCCTATATCTCTCTGTCTGTCTCTCTCTCTTTCTGTCTCTCCGTCTCTCTCTCTTTCTGTCTCTCCGTCTCTCTTTCTCTCTTTCTCTCTCTCTCTCTTTCCCACTCTCTCTCCGTCTCTCTCTTTCAATTCAATTAATTTCAACTAAGCTCTATTGGCATGAATGTTCAGGTTAGATTATTGCAAAACCCAAAATGACATATTGTTGAATAATTCATTTTTACACAATAAAAGTAAATAGATAATAAGATGACAAACACACTTTAAACACACACTCTTACAGATGTAATCCATCAGAAACATTTACTGCAGGGCTTGTATCATCTCTTACGGTATGATAACAGTCAACATAGTTTGCAGTTAATATGGCAGATTGTTTTTTTCTCACCACATCACTACGGCATTCTGCAATCTGAATGTTTCTTTTGATGTCATTAAAAGCCCTTCCTACCTTCTCCTTCAGCTCATTCACGGCCATGCCGAAGTGCCCAGTGGAACAGATGTTCACCTTTAAACATGTGTTACTTCTCAGACAGCTGGCTCGTTTTTGGGCCATTGGTAAGTAACAGTGCAGTCATTTGGAAACAGCTGTACTGTATTTTGAAACACTCAATACAATTCAGAAAATCGCTAAATTGTCCATTTCATTGCTTTTTATAAATGTAAATATACAAATGTCAAAGGGATGTTAATCTGCATGATAAATTAAGAAATGGAAAAACAATTTGGTTATAATAATCATCCACTTACAGTGATCAATTTGAGTCGGACAGACGTGATCACTATAAGTGGTTTCCTACTGTACTGTATATATGAATGTGTGAGCAGCTCGTCCCAGCTATTTATCTGCTGCCTGCCCAAAATAATAAGATAAGATAATCCTTAGTAAACCATTCACACTGAATACAGATATCAGATAATGAAGGGCTCACCTTTAGGTGAGACAGGCAGGTTGGTGTATCTAGTGACAGGGGGGGGTCCATGAGATTCAGAGGACAGCTGCGGGGGATGCAAGGGCTGGCCATAGAGGTCTGGAGGAGGAAGCTTCATGGCCGCTTGGTGGTCAGACAGAGGCATGCCTGGTGGGAGGTCCATCTGTATACAGTCATGGATGTATTCCTCTTTGATCAGGCTGCCTGGTGCTGCTGCAGTGAGACAGAGCTTTATTAGGCCATGTCCCTGAACGTCAATCATAAAATATCATCGGTGCTTAGGTAATTAACATTCCACCTGAAAAAGGAAAATGAAAAAGGCCATTTCTAGTAATTAAGTGAAGTCGTTATATCTGCCATTGTGTCTATGTTTAGCACATTTTAAAATGCTCTCACCCATATGCATGGTATCCATTTTTCAGCACAAACTCAGTACAAGGTTCAAACTGTTACTTTTTCTTTTTCTTTACACACAAATATAGCAGAAAAATATCAGCACTTTAAACTGGTTTATTCAGCTGATATAAAAACATGATGTTACTATAAAGAGAACCTGCTTCATGTGTTCACTGATGAATATCAACTCCAGAACAGTGCAGCGTTGTCAGTGGTGAAACAACATGTCAAACTAAAGATCTGATTGGTTGAACACTATGACAATCAACAATATCGTCCCCATTCACTTAAAGTGCACATGGATTCACTTGTGAGTCTGCAGGCCTCTGCCTCTCTTCTTACCTAGAGACACAGAGGTGAAATCTGATTGGATAAAAGCTCTACTTAAAACAAGCTGCACTGGAAGCAGAGCAACTGAGGAAGACAGTAGCTGTGCAATGAGAAAATAAGATAATGGGGAAAATAATTAGAATACATGTAGAATATTTATGAAAAATGATTAAATGATAAAATAGCTATAACTTTGTGATTCTGTCTAGGCCAGCATAGAAGGCCTTGCAGGCCCTGACGGCCCACCACTGCAGAAAAACAAACAGCACATGTTCTCCGTTATTACTTAGCAAATCAATTACAACAAGTCATGAAATGCATTCTCTCAAATGCTCTGAACGCAACAATCTCTCCATCAAAGATTTACCATTTCTCTCAGCGATAATAAAAAAAACATAACTGCTACAAGAATAGTCATTGCCACGACTTTGGAAGCTTGGTTTGAAAACCAGTAAGATCACCAATCACATACAACCACCATGTAAATTCACCCCGATTTGGAACAACCCAGACTTTGTAATGAAGCAACGCACCTTCTCCTTTAAGTCATGGGAAAACAAAGCAATGACTCACTTAGGAAAACATCCACAGATTAACGCTCCATGAATGAACCCAGGAGTCTGATTTCACTTAAGAACATTTTCAACAATATCCACAACTGAAAAACACAAGCAGACAAAAGAAGATACCACACATAATAGCTTGCTCATTAACCAAATGACAGCTCGTTCTGTATGAGAACCTACACATATCATACACAGAACACACAGAACTCAACACAGAAGGCACTGTAATTGGCAAACACAAAACTTCTGGAACAACATATTAACTATCATCTCACAAGCCCTGGGTCCCTCCTGTGTCACTGCCTCTTCGGAGACATTACACCAGTCACCTACACAAATACAACAAAGTCATACTTACCACCTTTACCATTGCAAAAAAGGACAATATTGCTCAACTGGAAATACAGACTCAAATTAACAACATCACAATGGCTCGATTTGTTGACAGAACACCTCTCAATGGAACAAGTCACTGCAACACAAACACAAAGCTCAGCTTTGTGAGACCTGGGCGCTCCTTTTGGAGATCTCTGAATCCACCAGAGATTTAAAACCTCTGAATTTGTGTTTTTGCTGTTTTTTGTAATGTCTTTTCTTTCCTGGAGTGGCGACACCTTATTTGTAAATGCAAACATTTAAATTAAAAAAATAGAAAGGTAGTAAAAACAACAAAGTTATTGGCCGAGACACATGTGACTATCGCTTAGCTGTTTAAGAATAATGGGCCGTGCTGTTAGCTGTGTGAAAGTGTCTATGTGTAGATCAACACTGTCCAAGAACTGAAACGTGGCGACAGACAGTTTCTTATATTTGATATTTCTTTTAACTGTTTAACTGATAGCATTATTCAGTCAAAATTCATATTGTTGGTTAACGGCTAAACAGTTCATTATTAACATCCCAAGTTATGACAGCATTCAGCTTAGACTTGACTCCAATGCTTATTACATACGAGGCCGTCACATTTATGTAACGAGGTGCATGTGTGACAGAAGCATTTTGTAGTGTTTAGAAACTATACTATAAGACATGGTTAAACGTGCTACTTGCTCCTTTAACCATGTTCTCTAGGACAGGATTTCAATCATACATCGGGTGTGATAGCTCTTAATAGCAATGACAGCATCTAAACTTTGCCTTTGATCACGAGAAAACAGCCTAACTGTGACAAATGCTATGACAGCATTCAAACAGTCGGATTCATACAGTTCATGGCGTAACTGCTGTACAGGGAAGTCAACATGTCCCACGGTTTGATCACATAGTAAACAAGGAATCCTTTAATCATGATGTGGTGCAGTAGAATGGAACTCACCTGTATTTTGAAGGCTGAGACCAACTGAGAGAAGACAAGAAGAATATGAGATCAACACTTGACTAACCACATCACACAGAAAATGAAGCATCAGCAGCTAAGATTTCAAAAGTTTGTTGAACTACATTTACAAATATTTATCAGTGATTAAAATGAAACTGAAACGCGTGAAGTATGAAGCTGACCTACCGATGCCTGGTGACACCACCCTCTCATAATGGTAGGGGTTGACACATACATTGTCGTACTTCAGGTCAAAGGCGTATTGGCAGAACTTGACATGCTTGAGTTCATTTTTGTGGAGGTCAGGCCAGCGCCACAGCCGTGCATAAATGACATGAGGAAAACCTTTCCTCCCTGCCACCTGTGGAGAGAGCACAGCATCATTATAGTCTTTGTGTCATGCTCACTGAATCTAATTATTTTTATAGCTACTATATCCAAGATCCATGTGTGTTCTCAGCACTCCATATGTTACACTATGATTGGGCCACACAGTGATCCCTATGCCAGCCTTCAAAACTTGATGTTTTTCCTATTATCCAGCAGTAGATTGTATCTTTAAATATGCTATTGGCAGGTTTGCCGAAGGTTCAACAAGTGAATAGAGAGTTGGAGAGAGTGCAAATGTTTTCTGTTAGCTTACCCCATGTTGTTGAAGAAAATCATCATATAATTTAGGATTGAACTGAACACATTTGGTTCATAAAAACATTCTTAGGAAGAGATTAAGGCACGCCAGACAAATTGTAATCTATCGCTCCAATGTGTGTCCAAACATTTCCCGTACACGAATTGTGTGTTCTGCGAAAAGGTTGTGTTCCACCAAAAGGTTATCTTGACCCAAATGAGGACAGGAGAGCATGACATAGTGAAGAGACCAGAAGATGTGTTTTGTTTGTGGTTCAACCCGCTGGTTTGATTGGTGGAAACTGACTTAAAGGGGGGTGAAGTTTGACTGTAAAAGTAATCTGTGAAAAGTAATACATCAGATTTGTTTGGATTTGCTGAACTCGTTGTATGTTGAAGTGTGCTTATTAAAACACTTCCCGCTGGGTTGCAACTTCAATTCGCCGTCTCTTCTCGTCATTTTGCCACAACAATGTTCGGCCCAGTTACTTAATAACAGAGATAAACCGAGAACAATGGCTCATTACTTGACAAGTTCATTGCACAACCAGCACATTTCATGGACGCGTGGAGTTTCCAGATTCATATAACGTAATTAACGGTAATCATGGGGATATGGCTCATTTAAGGTACGTTTAGCTTGTCATTGAAGGGGTGGTGTAACGTTACTGCAGGGTATACCCACGTATTCCTACTCATAGTTCCAAATATCTTCTGATGCTCATCTTCGTTATAACTTACAACGTTACATTGAGGGAACTATAACTTTAGGTACGTTAACTGGATGCAACAGTCACTAATGCTAACGTAGTTTCTCAGAGCTTGAAGCTGGTATTTTTCTCCTTTGACAATCGAATCAGGGACAACACATTTGCTGAGCTTGTAAGGACCATGGCTGTCGGTAGGTGTTGTCTTTTTTGTTTAAATATGGCGAAATAAAATGTTATGGGTTATCTTTGTTTGGATAAATTAAGCAGAAATAACTACGATGTGCTCACATCACTTCTCCCTTGTTGCCACGGTAAATATTCACATATTCTGTAGCCTGATAGAGATCAGTCAGACACCAGTGTCGCTGAGCACTTGGGATTGGTAACTGTTACCCGAGTCAAACTCAGCCATTTATAACTGGCAACGATTCCATGTGATACTATCGTCATTGTACTTTTGGCTCACTAGCCTTGTCATAAGTGGCAAAGGTCAGATATCTTCAATAGACATAAACAAAACATTCATATGGGCCCAACAACATCTTTAAAAGGATTAATTCTCCAAAATAATATTTTTTTAGGAAAAGCTTTCATAAAGTTCTGCCGCTGTATTCTTTTTTTTATTATTTGTCTACATCAATATAACTGTTAAAGACATTTGTGATCGTCTCTGACTGCTCCCTGAATGACAGAAGGACTTCGTATGCTGTCCATCACACTGATCATGTCACTGTTAATAAAACCACTCTGCTGTTTTCTCTATATGAGGGCTACTTGAATATTGGTGTGTGAAGCACAGGTGGGAGGGAGATGGATGCAGGTTTGTGGACTGACAAATGGAGACAATCTTTGTGTAACAATGGACCATAGCCTTTCGTGAAACGCAGTTTGTTTTTAGTATCCCCAAACAACACAATATCTGATGGGCCAACTTTAAGATTCTGTGAAAGTTACTGTCCCATTGAAGGTTTTCAGAGATGAAAGTGCCACGAAATTGAAAAACTAATTTTTCCAACTGCTTTCCTGGCAGTTTCACTCTCCTGAACTCTCTTATCATCCCTTTAGCTGTTCCCATGTTAAGCTGAAGGGTAAATGGTCTTTGCATCAGCTTACAGGCTTAGACACCTCCCTCCTATATTTATTGATCTTGTTACTAATCCAACCACTGTAGTATTGTCACCGAATAAATTAAGTGTAATAAATTACAAAATGTATGTTGTAACTTCCCTTCGCTGAAGCACTGAGCATCTGTCACATGTTGGAAGAGACAGATTTGGCTTTTTTTAGCCTAACATTTATTGGGTTTATGTTTGTACAAACAATTGAAAGTCTTGTGTATGTTAACTAACAAACAGAAAGATAGAGATAAAAAACAAATAGACAAAATAAAAAAAACAGAGGCAAAACAGTTTTGGTTCAAATTGTCCATATCAGAGGACGTAAACAAATTCATCTCACTAGAAATGTATCAGACTCTTCCACTGTGTCATTTACGAACAAAAACATTTTCTCTCACTCCAAGTTGAAATGTTATTATTCAATAGTATAAATCTATGAAAATATTTTCAGACCATTGCTCTATATATAAAGATTCAGTCGTATACCAATGTATTGTTATCAATAATATCTTGTTTCAATATCTATCATTATACGTGACATAATCATTTATATTTCCGAGGGACATAACTTTGCATCGCATATCCCAGAATACCTTTAGTTGTAACATGCACATTTTCCCTAAATTACAGTAATGTATGACATTCACAAAAAGTGTGTGGGGTTTGCCTCTCTATTGCCACATTACTGCGAGCATGACTGTTGGAACCAGGTGGTTTACTCTTGATTTTAGGTTCCATCGTTCTCCCTCCATGTCATAGGATTTGTTGTGCTTCACAAATGCTGAGCCATTCTTCTGTTGTAATGTCCAGTTCCCCTCCCATCTAGCCCCAGTGCACACAGCAGAGGACGCAGTAGAGTCTCTCACATTTTGAATCTCCCCGATATTACCTTGTATGTCTGCATCATTACAAACAGCAGTCCATTTAAGGTTTTTGAGGTTTGTAATTCCTATATAAAATAATCCCTCAACTGCAAAAAAATCATCTTTTTCTAATCCATGTATCTCTTTCAAAACTGTGCTATTAATCCTGTAATGCCTTTACAAGTTGAATATTACCAATCAGGGACTGGACTGTAGTGTCTGCTACAGCCATCTCCTTATCTTTGTCCATCTCTGTCCTTTAATATTAATTCTAGTGCTGTGCAAGTTAACGCGTTAATGCATTCATCAATTAATGCCGACAATTATTTTATCGCGCGTTAACGCATTTTTTTTATTTATTATAAGTTATTTTTTATTTTTTTATTTTTTATTGAAAGACAAGAGACAATACATATACATAACAACAAGAGGATGACAAGAACAGTGGGATAAAAGCCAGCAAACATCCTATAGTCAGTTGTGTGTGTGTGTGTGTGTGTGTGTGTGTGTGTGTGTGTGTGTGTGTGTGTGTGTGTGTGTGTCCTTGAGCCTTTTTTAAGATGGGAAAAAAAATAATAATAATAATAATAATTAAAAAACAACAACAAAAAAACAGGTAAGTATTTTTAATTTATTATTATTGTAACAGACTGTCTCATGTTTATGGTTTTGTATTGGAGATATGATGTCCCTTCAGGGTTGCCGTAGAGAAAAGGCGACTTCCGCTTCTGGTCGGGGGGCAGAAATAAAGAGAGAAGCTGCACCAGCTGTTGCTCTCCCTGGAGACTATTGGACATCGCTGCGGTAAAGTCAGCAGACACTCAGATCTCCGTGGTCAACTCAGCAGACACTTACATGTTAGTGCACCTATATGCTGAAATTCACGGTAAACGCATTTAAACGGCACAGACAGGGAGCGAGCGAAGGACTTTGAAAGTTAGCGGAAAGATTAACGTGAGACAACATCCGGTTTCTTCAGACGAACATCCGGTTTTCAGAATAAGATGCCAACAAAGTATGAATTATATTCACATTAAGTATAAAACATGCTACCTGCATCTCGTGAACCAAATGCTATTGCCCCTTTGTTCATATAGCAGTACTTTTAAAATAAAAGTGCACAATACACTACTTTTACTCTCTGGGCTGCACGGTTGTGTGGTGGCTAGCACAGTCGCCTCACAGAAAGAGGGCCTGGGTTTGATCCCATAGCAAGACATCCCACAGCTCAACATGAGTTTGAATGTTATTTTGTTCTGAGTCCTGTTCTCATAGTAACAGGTTGTTGATATTTTTGTTGCCAAACTCCACTTCTTTCTGGAGCTTGCATGTTCTCCCTGTGTCAGTGTGGGTTTTCTCCGGGTTCCTCCCACAGTCCGAAGACATGCAGCTTAGGTTAATTGACGACTCTAAAGTGAGCGTGAATGTTTGATACACTGCCATTGCTCCAAAACATCTCCATGGAGGAGGAATGTCATCTGGACCAACCTTTTCACTCTTCATCCTCTTTTTTTAGCTCCTCTATAGCTCTCCTCACTTCATCCTTGCTATTCATTGCATTTCTGATTCACAATCCCCACATCATCCAACCTTCTCTCTCTCATTTTCTTCATTCACCAGCCCCTCAAAGTATTCTTTCCATCTTTCAAAAACCCTCCCCTCACTTGTCAGCCCATTTCCATCTCTATCCTTAATTGACCAAACCTGCTGCACATCCTTCCCAGATTGGTCCCTCTGTCTAGCCAACCGGAACAAGTCCTTTCCTCCTTCCTTAGTGTCCACACCTCTCATACAACTCTCCTTAGCCTTCACACCCTCTCTCTTCACCTTAAGCCGCATCTCCTTGAGCTTCTATCTACTTTTTTCATCTCTCTGACTATCCCACTTTTCTTTGCCAACCTCTTCCTCAGTACTTTCCTGTACTTCCACATTCCATCATCAAGTCTCCTTGTCTTCCTTTCTCTGTCCAGATGACACACCAAGTACCTTCCTAGCTGTCTTCCTCACCACTTCTGCAGTAATTACCCAGCCATTCAGTAACTCTTCCACACAGCGCCACCCCTCCCTAGGTTTCTATTTTATTTAATTAATATTCAGAATATATGAAACACGCAAGATGTATTAAGATCAGACTGAATTCATGTAAAAAAGACACTTTAGATGTTTGAATTCATTGTGCATTGATTCTGAATATTAAATTTGAATGGAAAAGTGAACATAACAATACAAATCAAACCGTGAGATGAATTCCTAACTGTAAAATCTGAAAGCAAGGGATATATTCAATATTTAAGAGACATTAAAGAGAAATCCTCGTGCCAATGTACAGATGTGATAAGAAGGTGGACCTAGAAGTTGTGCAAGTGCAGTGAAAGTTAAGTGGACTGTTAGAGGTGCACTGACCTGCAGCCGTCCGTCCAGTGTCCTCTGGATGGTGACACACTTGCTGGGATGGACACCATTGGTGGTGATGGCGGTGATGAGCGAGTCCAGCTCGTCTTTCTTCTCCTTCAGCTTCTTCACCAGGCTCTCAATGGCCCGCTTAGCAAAGCCCTCGTTCTCTCCGCCCTGCCGGTGGCACATGAGGCTGTGGACGATGCTGAGGCAGGCGTCATTACTGCTTGGAGGGTTCACTGACATGATGCTGCTGCCACAAGACACAGAAGGAGGGTTTGTTATGTTTAGAAAAGAGGTCATATTAATCCCATATTAGCGCCTCTGCACTGGCTCTCTGTAAATCAAGAAAAAAAAATTTACATCCACCTTTCCACCTACAAAACCCTAAATGGTCAGGCACCATCATATTTTGAGGAGCCCACAGTAAATTCTCCCTAAATTCAGGATTACTTGTGGTTCCTATAGAGCAGTGGTCACCAACCTTTTTAAACCCAAGATCCCCGACCTCTGCCTTGGTGACAGGCAAGATCTACCTATTGAGGCATTGAGAGAAAAAGACTGTCCAGACCAGGGGCATTTCTAGGATTCAAAGAAAGGGGGGGCTTAGCCCCAAGGGGAGCGGCAATTTTTTTTGGGGCCTATTTGGGGTCGCGAAAATCCATTGTTTCAGACAGTTCATAGATTGGTTCAATCAGAAAGAGTGTGATTTTGCTCTGTAGTTTTGCTTGCATTCAGTATATGACAACACAAGAGTCAGAATTTCAGGGTCACAGTGAAATTTGACAACACAAATATGAACTTTTCTCAAATAAAGAGAGAAATAATTTTCCTGCTTGTAAAGGAAAGACGGATAAACTAGCTTTCATATCCGCGTCACTCCCAAATCCTAATTCTTAAAGGGGCCGCACACAATGGATGGAGAATGGACCGGACAGTGTCAACTTTTGAGTTGTTTACTTGTTTTATTATGAGCAGAAGGGAATAAGATGCTGATCAACATTTACAACTATTTTGTTTTCCGTGTAGTTTTTACATACCAGTGATTTATGCTAATTTGGACACTATCACTGAGATAAAGATGAACTAGTTCAGTGTCAAATATACCATTCAATGGGAAAAAAAACAAACATGAATAACAAAAATAAAAGAACACATTTCAAGTACATCTTAATTATCGAATGATAAATATTGTATGATGGGCTGAAATGGAAGGCACCCAATGCATTCACTATAATCAAGTCAAACTAGGATTACAATGTACAGAGAAAAACACTATAGGACTAGATCCGGACAGGAATTTCCACTTTGACATGATTTTAATCAGTCTGAAGTTGCCTGTGGAGTCTGTCGATTGTGCACACGTCTCTTCAGTTGCATGCCCTTATAAGGAGTTGGCGGGGCGTTTCTGTATGCAAATCCAGGTGCACGAGAATGCGCGTTCAATTTAAGAATCCTCATTCGGGGGAGCACAGCTGAGAACACTTCGGCTGTGTAAGAACCCATTTTCAGGCGTTCATGAATCAGGTGGAGATCTTTTCTGACGTTGGTCTTCCGAAGTCCGTAAGAAAACATTTCAGAAGACACTTAAGAAAATGTTCGAGATGAGGCCCAATGCGTTTCTGAATTTATTTTTATTTTATTTTGGAGAGCGACAGGGAAAGTCTCCAAGATCGACTCTATAGTGGAGATCGACTCTATAGCAGATCGACTCTATAGCAGTCGCCAACCGGCGACCACTGCTATAGACTCTCTAAAAGGTAGGATGGGAACCAGAGCCTTCAGTTATCAAGCTCCTCTTCTGTGGAACCAGCTTCCAGTTTCT